CGGACATGTGTCTTCTTCAGGGCACTGGTTGGGAAATCCTGACCCCCGAAGTGTGATGGTTCTAGAAATGGGAGTAAATATAGGTCACTGGACACATGAGGAACATCCTCAAGGTCAAGATCACGGGACAGCTCCTCCTCTGCTCTCCAGCTCTGGCCACTGTCATGAGCTGCAGATCTATTTTTCCCAACTAATCTATAGCTTGTCTGTGGGATGGTACCCTGGCATTAAGCCTCTCCATGTCTCAGACGACACTTGTTTGAGACAGTCATCTCCCATAGCCCCCTGACCCTGGGGCTGGTGTCTCATGGTACTCACCAGGATCACCTCCTGTCGTCTCTTCGCCCTCATTTCATTGTCCCCCTCCCCATCAACAGTACATGGCTGCGCTGTATTGGCTTGGGCTCGGAAGTCTTGCTCAGACACTGTCTCCATACTTCTGTGGGCCCTGGCTCACACCCCTCTCCAACAGCATATCACCAACCACTTCAATGTTTCCAGACTTTCAATCAACAGATTCTTGCTGACAGTTGAAGCTCAGGTTCTGTGCTATAGCCTTCAAATTGCTTTTCCAGTCATTTGCTAATGAAGATCTTATTCCCACTTTTCCAACATCACACATTTTCATTGGTAACTCATTACCCACAAAACACATCCGAGCTCCTGATCCTATAACTCTCTAGAACGGTGTGTGTGTTCTGTTCCATGACCAAGCTCCCACCCTGGAGAAGAGGGGGGCATATGGGATGACCATAGCAACTTTGCACAGCCTGCTCAGCTCTGCCATAATCAGAAACAAAAAACACCACCCAGAGCCTCTTCCCGTGATGGTGTATTTAGGGACTAGGTTTACCTCCTTCCTGAAGCAACCACCAAATTGACAACATGTATGAAAATGCAATAAAGGACTGTGGTTCCTGGGAGAAGGTCAGCAAACAAGGGAGTCCCACAGTCTCCTCTCTTGCTGACTTCCTGAAGAAACTCCCAGGGCTCAGTGCTGAGGAAAGTAACTTAGGAGCCCCTGAGACTTCTTGAGTTGGGGCGACACAACTGAAGGTATGAGATGACCAAGACATGGAATAGACCTCTCAGGATAGAGATGGGGGAAGATCTGCACACATAACTGTGGGGTCTGTGGAAGGTGTCCCTTGGGTATTCTGTTGAACACTGTTAACATATGCTGATGAAGAAACTGCTAGAGGCCAGGGACAGAGCCACCTGAAAGGGTTAGAGACACAGAGCCTGGGCTCACAGGGCTGGGCAGAGTCCAATTCTCACATTGTTTTGAGGTGTCGAGAGGGCAGGAATGACGGTGGGAATAAGCCCCAGACTAAGCACTTCTTAGATTTTAAAAGCCAGATTCCTTCCTCTGACTCAACATTTACACCGGGCTGTACAACCTTGAGCACCATGAAATGCCATGAGCTAAATTTACCCTCCATAATATTTATCATAACCACACCTCTTTTCTATCTCACAAGTTGGGCTTGAGGTTCTGAGGAAAGGGAGTAGACAGTGACTTCTGCAGCGACAGACAGCTTACAAGAGAGTGGAAAACTTCCTAGAGGGTGCTATAGAATTGAAGACACTGGCTCATGACTACAGGAACAAGCCCTGGAAATGCTGCTGGACTAGAGAGTCAGATTTACACAGAGACCCTCATGTAGATGGAGTTTTCCTGCCTGGCCCACAGTCAGGACAAATCTCTCTCACCTGCTAGTCCCACAGCTGCTCAGACCCGACCAAGTAAACACAGAGACTTATATTGGTTACAAACTGTATGGCCGTGGCAGGCTTCTTGCTAACTGTTCTTACAGTTTAAATTAATCCATTTCCATTAATCTATACCTTGCCACATGGCTCGTGGCTTACCGGCATCTTCACATGCTGTTTCTCATCATGGTGGCTGGCAGTGTCTCTCTCACCCAGCTTCCTGTTCTCTCAATTCTCCTCTCTGTTAGTCCTGCCTATACTTCCTGACTGGCCACTGACCAATCAGTGATTTATTCATTGACCAATCAGCAACACATTTGACATACAGACCATCCCACAGCACCCTCATGCAGGCACAATGTCAGGCACTGAGAAAATCATCTTTTATTTGCTCTCAGGGATGCTCACCCCTTGATAGTTCATCATACCTAACCTCAATACTGCTGTCCTTCTAGGAAAAGACAGGCTTTACCGGTAGCTGTTGGGATGTGTATAATATTTTGCCTACTCAAAAAAGCTAGAGTTGAGTGGTGTATCATTGGTCAATTTTGTGAATCTTTGGGGTCATTTTTGTGAATCCTATTTATGGCATTTGAGAATGAATTTCCTAAAGAAGAATGAATTGCCTTTGGACAGTTAAATTCCATAAAGTATACCCTCTAAGATAAAGAACAGTGCCATGAAGCAGACCCCTAAGGTGGAGAACAGTGTCATAAAGTAGAACCCCTAAGATGGAGAACAATGTAATGAAGTGGACCCTCTACGATGGAGAACAATGCCATGAAGTAGACCCTCTACAGTGAAGAACAATGTCATGAAGTAGAATTCTAAGATAGAGAACAATGTCATGAAGTAGACCCTCTACAATGGAAAACAATGCCATGAAGTAGAATTCTGAGATGGAGAACAATGTCATGAAGTAAACTTAGATGGAGAACAATGTCATGAAGTAGACTTCTAAGATGGAGAACAATATGAAGTAGACCCTCTAAGATGGAGAACAAGGTGAACATGCCTGCTTTTGTCATCTCACTAGTCTTGTTACTCCCAGTGGTTAGAGTCCCAACTAATGTCATAAGTCAAGGAAAATGAGCAGCAGCATGTAAATCACAGAGAAACAACATCTGCAGATGACTTCTCTGCATAGAAAATGCCAAAGCACCCTTAAAAATGGCTAGAACTAATGAATTCAAGATCACAAAATACCACATAAACACACACATACAGAAATCACATTTCTATATACTCACAATGAGCATGTGGAAATTAAAATTAAAAGGACAAAAATGAACTGCAACCTAAACCTTATCCAATAATTACCTCAAAATGAGTCATGGACATGAACATAAACAAAACTCTAAAAATGTTTAGGGAAAAAAACATGGGAAAATGTTTAAGTATTTAGAGCTAGGCAGACTTGGCACCCAAAGCATGGTGAAAGAGAGAGAGAGAGAGAGAGAGAGAGAGAGAGAGAGAGAGAGAGAGAGAGAGAGAGAGAGAGAGAGAGAGAGAGAGACTGGAAATTTGTGTCCTGTGAAAAGTTCATATTGCAATGGACTGAATATTTTCCTCCCCCAAATTCATATGTTAAAATACTGAAATCCTGAACCTACTGTGATGTTATTAGAACATCAGGACTCTAGACATAATGAGGACATGAAGGTGGAGTTCTCCAGGGGTTCAAGTTCTTGTCAGAGAACCCAGAGAACTTGCTGCCCTGTTCACTGAGGTGAAGCCACAGCCAGAAGTTGGTCACCAGATCCGATGCCTTGATCGATACCCTCAGCCTCTAAAGGTAGGAAACAAACGCCTTGTTGCTGTGGTCACACATCTGGTGGCATTTTTGTTATTGTCCCCCAAACTCGGGCACCATGGGAAGTTCTTGGAAAGATATGCTGCAGTTTGAGAAAATAATTTCCGAGTCGTGTGCCCATGAATAACTGGTATAAAGAACTTTTGAAAGCCAAGAGCCAAAGGACAAACAAGGCAATGGGAAAATGAGCAAAACCTGAAAGACATTTTGCTAAAGAGGAACCAGATGGCAAATAGCAAGCAAAAAGAAATCGTTCAACATCTTTACACACCATGGAAATTCAAAATCGATCTGGAAATGTACATCCATGCATACCTATCAGAACAGCTAAACTAGAAGTCACACAAAATGTGTGCAATGATGCAGGGAAGCTGGGTCGCTCATGTGTCGTGGGTGTGAATGTAAAATGGCTCAGCCTTTGTAGAAAGCACCTTGACTGTTCCTTGCAAAACTAACTATACAATAACTATACCTAGCAATTGTTGTCTTAGACAATTTCTACAGAAAATAAACACTTACCTTTGCATAAACACCTGTGCAAAAATGTGCACATTTTATTTGTATTAGTCCCAAATTACAAATCACCCAGGTACTCCTCAACTGGTGATGGTTAAACCAACTGTGGTACATCTATGTGGTGGAATGCTACTCACCAATACAAAGGAATGAGCTGTTACTGTATTCAACAGCCATGGTGTATTGTAAGACAGTTGTGAACTTTTCACAGAGCACAATTTCACAGAGCTGAATGAAGATGGAAAAAAAAAGAAACAATTGCAAAAGGTGACATGCTCTGTGATTCTATTCATGTAACATTCTTGAAACAAGTGTTGAGAAGCAAGATAGTGGTTGACAGAAGGTATTTGGAGTGGAAAGCAGGAGGAGGGTGGAGGGAGGATTGTTTTTAAGAAGCAGCATGGGAGACCCATGGTGATGGGGCCTTCTATTTCTTGACTGTACTGTCAGTGTCTTGGCTGGGATGTGAACTAAGCTGTGGTTTGGCAAGATGCTACCAGTGGGTGCACCTGAGAGCTCAGCATTATTTCTGACAACTACGTGTGAATCTACAATTCCCTAAATATAAAAAATGTCATTTAAAAACCTGACATTTTATTAAACACTCATCAGTGTCAAGCTACACTTTGTGATTGATAAAAATTACCCACCTTCTAACGTGAACATCCCAATATTTTTTAGCTATTTTACTGACTACCTAATAATTACCAAAATCATGAAAGACATATTTTAGTATTAAGAACAGTTTGAGCAGCATAGTAAAAAAAAATAAACAAATATGTGTATTTTAAAGGCTAATTTTTAGCATGAATAAAATACAACCACACATGAAACCAGCCTTCTGTGAAGCAGTTGGCAGCTGCCCATGCTGTCCTGGACCTGGGCTTACTGTGTACCCTGGATTCTGCATCTGGGTGACCAGGAGGAACTGACCCTTTTCCTGCCTTTTGTCTTTCAGGATCTCCTCTTCAGCGTGTGTGCCCTCAATGTCCTCTCCACCATCGTGTGCGCCTTGGCCACAGCCATGTGCTGCATGCAAATGGTCTCTGCTGATGTCCTGCAGATGGTGAGTGACCCCACTCCTGCCCCGGCCTTCAGAGTGGCCAGCCCAGGCCTCCCTCCTCTAACCAGCTGGAGTCCAGTGTATACGTGTTCTCTACTTCTGGTTAGAGAACCACGGGGTCGATCAGTCCAAACTGTCCTTGGAGATCCTTGGAGTCACCTTGTGATGCACTCTGAAGAGGGGGACTCTGCAATATTTGCTCATGTTGCCTTACTTCAGACCTTCAGACATCAGCAGAGTTCCATGTTTATGATGGAGTCACCCCACCCCACCCCAGAGCACCTAGAATGTGTCCCTGAGTCAATCCGGTTCTGTTGTGTTGGACACCCCCTGGAACCTTTAGAGCAAGGCCTGTCCTTATTCTTCAGAATTCTCTGTAACAGAAGAAGTTTGGGGTTGTTAGAAGGTGATTTCTCAAATTGAAAAACTGCTGTTCTTTGCTTTTGAAATTTGCTAATTAACCCTGAGGTCATGGTTCAGTGGCCCTCATCTGGTGCCATGGTCAGGGTCTTTAAAAAAAAAAAAAGACCTTCTGCTCCCATGGGAGTGGTAAGGCCAGAGCAGGGGTCATGTTCTTATTAATAAACATCTCTAAACACACACTTCATAAGTCATGATGGCTCTTCGTTGTCTCAGCATGAGTGGACCACAGCCTAGGGTTCAATACATTATTGTGGAACTCATAATAAAAAGAAATTGGTATTGGTTTTTGGTGCCGGGGGTAGGAGCCACTCTGTGCTCATTATCTCTTCCTCCTTCCCACTTGCTGTCTCTGCTTTTGTGTTCTCTTACTGTAACAGATCAGCCAAGACGAAGTCATTTACAGAGAAAGTAGGTTTACTTAGCATCCAGTTCTGGAGAGTGGGGAGCCCAAGACCGTACAACTGCACGTGGTTGGCCTCCGGTGTAAACCTCCCGGCAAGTGGCAGAAGGGCAGTGGGTGTGTGTGTGAGACAGAACACAAGGGCTAACCTTGTTTTGTTTTTTAACAGCCCTGCCTCCCAGTGGTAGCTAACCCTGCTCATTAGAGTGAATACTCATTCCGTCTAGATAGCGTTAATCCATTCAGGAGGGGTTGACCCTTGTTACCCAAGCGCTTCCCACTAGCCCCACCTCTCAACACCACCATTTTGGTCTGGGACAATCCACATTCAAGCTGTCTGTGTCCTTCAGCCTGACCCTCAAGGCCACTGTGCCCTCCACCCAATGTTTTATGCATTTCATGAAAGAAAAGACAAGTTATCCCTACAGTGGGCTTTTCTTTTAAATCTTCCCCCTCACCCACCTCTTAGCAGTGCATCCGTTAATCAAGATATAAGGCCAGAGAGCATCGTTCCCGATATGTTAAAACTCCGCTGGTCCTAATTGTACGTGGCGTGCAGCCTGGTGCTCACAGCATACATCCACGCAGCTGTCATAGCGAGCTGACCTTTCTGAGGGGTCTCGGTGTTCTGAGAGGTGTCTAATTAAGCAGTTATTCAGCAAGATGAACTTTTGGCCTCATTCATCGAGGCCTCATGTTGGTAATTTTCTCCAGCATGCTGTATAAAGGAAAGGTTAAATATAAATACCAGGAAGTTCTACCCATCTCGGTAGATTTTGCTATTGATCTGTAAATATCACACCAATTGGACCAAACTAACAGAAGTGAAGGCTGTTAGATGATAGCAGTTTGTATCCCTGTACTTTTAAACACTAAAATGAAAATTGTCAACTGAATAAGAATAAGGTATATTCTAGCTGTGTAAGCAATTAGAATTAAGCCAAAGTACGCATTGTCCTTATTGGTGGCCATGTAGACCAGAAATAGGCCTGGGGTCATGCGTCAAGCATGTCTGCATCTGAGCCCCACTGCTTCTGCCTCTATGGTGCCCTGGAGCACATCACCGAACCTACTTGTCCAGTAGTTTCCTCACCTATGAAAGCGGCCCCACAGGACAACCTGCGGATCTCTGTTGATTTTTATTTGATTCTTTTATTTGTTGGCCGTGCTGGGGATGGAGCCTTGTGCAGGCTAGGAAACAGCTCTACCACTTTGCTATGCCCCAACTTTCTCTCCATTTTTCAATGTGGCAGGAGGAGCAGCCAATTACTGGAATCATAGCAATGACCTCACAGCTGTGACATCATAGTAATGACATCAGAGCAGTGACGTCACAGCAATGGCATCACACAGCACTGACTACAAGTGCAGTACTGCTTTGCTGTACTTCACTAACTGTGGTGTGTGCGGTGAGCAAGCAAATTCTTACAGGATTATCAAGGCTGTGTCTTAGTTTTCTGTTATAATGAAATGCCCTAGGGTAGACTCCTGTAAAGAGGTTATGCAGGTAATGGCTTAGAAGGCCAAAGGGGCCAAACGGCATGGTGCCTGCACTCGTGAAGACGTCCTCACCTGTGTCACAGCGTGGTGGCTGGCATCACAATAGGCAAAGATATATAGAAGAGACCAGGCTTGCTCTTCACAACAAGTTCTCTAAACTGAAAGCATGACATTACTTCCTTCCTAAGGCCTTGCCTCCAGTCACCTAACTTCACCCCCACCCCCCCCACCCTTCCCAGGAGGCCCCACTTGTGAAAGGTTCCATACCACCTCCCAGAAGCACCATGCTGAGGGCCAAGCCTCCAACACAGGGACACACATCCAAGCCACAAGAAGATACTATCTGAAACCTCCAGGCTTGGAACTAGGAATAATTGAGTTTCCTGCTGATAAGGCCTTCTCCTTATATGGCCACATGCTGTGGCACAGGCAAGGTTCTGGTCTCCTGGTCAAACTGAGCTGTGTATGCCCTCCCGCATCTTGGGGGAGGCAGAAGGAAGAACTGTTTATAGCCACAGTACCTGTGAGACCAGCTCGTGAACCTGTGGGCACGTCACCTCCCACTGGTCTTCCTTCTTTTGCACTGAAGGCCATGAAGTATTTGAGCCTTTCCATCCTGCAAGACTGCTGAGAGGATGGATCATGTGATGTATAGAAATGGGTTTTTTAGAAACAGGGTGGCCATATGGAGTGTGGCTGGCCCAGGCTGGCTACACCCTGGAAGAGGTGGGCTGACCCAGCGGGCTTGTGGACTCCACCCAGTCAGATGGAAACGGGATGTTTAGGAAGATGCCTTGAAATCTCTTTTCAGGCTTCCTACTTCATTTCATTCAGTTATTTAATTAAAGGAATAATATGTGATCATTGGACGAAGCTCTATTACATAGCAGTACATAAAGAAAAGTTAATGACCTTCCTCACCGGCCCGTGGGAGAGACAAACGCCACAGCTTTGCAGCGAGTACTTCCATTCCCCCATTATATCTAAGTGCTTATACAAATGCACATAAATTAATTGTCTTTCCTCCCGGTCCCCTTCCCCCAGCCTAGTGGCTGTGAGTTGGTATTCCATTGTAGTTTAGATTTGCATTTTTCCAGTGATTAGTGATTTGGTTCTCTTTCTGTGTGTTTAATGGCCACTTATAGATCTTCTGTGGAGGAACGGACTTTACTTTGCCCATGTTTAAAATTGGAATTGTCAGCCGGGCGGTGGTGGCGCACGCCTTTAATCCCAGCACTCGGGAGGCAGAGCCAGGCGGATCTCTGTGAGTTCGAGGCCAGCCTGGGCTACCAAGTGAGTTCCAGGAGAGGCGCAAAGCTACACAGAGAAACCCTGTCTCGAAAAAACAAAAAAAAACAAAAACAAACAAAAAAAAAAAACAAACAAAAAAAAATTGGAATTGTCTCTTATTGCTGAGTCATAAAGTTCTTTGTGTGATCTGGATCCAGGTCTCTCTTCAGATGTACGGTGTGCAGATGTTTCCTCCCGTTCCATTGATTACCTTTTCACTTGCTGGTATCTTTCAGCCACAACTTTAGTTTCAGCAAGGCCTAATGTGTCTCTTTTTCCTGTTCCTACTTTTGCTTTGGGTGTCCTGTCTCCCAAGGAAATGAAATTATTCCTTCTGAGAGTTTTGCAGTCTTAGTTGATGTTGAGGAACATCTCTCATAGGTTGTCAGGCACATTGTGGGGGAGGACTGGTTTTGTGTGGCTCCTGGCACCATGTGTTGAAACGCAAATGTTAACCCACTGAGTTGGCTCAGTGTTACTGGCGGTTGCCAGTTGACCAGAGATGCATGGGTTTATCTGGAGATGCATGGGTTTATCTGGGGGCTCCCAGTTCCATTTCATCAGTCTTTATGTCCACCTTCACGGCAATTCCATAGAGCCCATGGTTACCATGTTATAGTCACTTCTAAAATGGGTGTGAGAATCCTCCAGCTTCGTTTATTCTCATGCTGGTTGTGAAAATTCTGTACCCTTGTAGTTCCCCATGAATTTCAGAATCAGTTTGTCAGTGTCTGAAAAGTAATCACACCGGGATTGTATTAAATCTGTGCGGCAGTTCCGCCGTGTGCCACTCACCATGACCTCAGTGTTATCTCCTGTGTGTTGACATCCCAGTTCTGGCTGGATTCCCATTTGTTGGGCTCAGTTGTGGCTCATGTGACTTGCCAATCATTCTTCTGGTATTTTTACTTGAGATTCTCAAAGTGAGAAGTATAATTGAAGTGTGTGTCTGTGTTTGTGTGACTGTATATGAGTGTCTCTGTGTGGGTGTCTGTGTGTGTCTGTGTGTGTATGTGTATCTGTATCTCTGTGTGTAATCTGTCTATTGTCTGTGTGTGTGTGTGTGTGTGTGTGTGTGTGTGTGTGTGTGTGTGTGTGTGTGTGTGTATCTGTCTGTCTGTCTGTCTGTGTGGTACTGGAGACTGAACCTCTCGTCTTGTACATGTTTGGCAAGTGTCACATACCACAGCCACAGCTCCTCTAAGAAATACTCATTCATGACAAGGTTGCTACTGGGGAGCAGCCCCCATGAGCATGTATGCAGCCTCCCATTGGCCATTCCTCCTAACCAACACTCAGGGCTGCTTTCAGAGAGAACTGTGGGGCACTCCTGCTGCTGCGTGCGCCCAGCTCCTGCTGCCATCCTTACACATCTTCCTGAGCAACTCTC